GTATTGCGTTCAACTGAACGAATATATTTCATATCCATTCTAGATAATGAGAGCACTAAAAAATAGTCGTTTGTGCAACAAGAGTGGATGTTCAGATTTTAAAATTTTTCTTTATATGCACCAATTAAATTAACATCCTGTATATGAAATTAATTATTTATTGAATTAAAATGTTTAATTTCATATGCAATTAATAATAAACACGTTCCAATTTCGTATCTAGTTCGATGTGTAAATTATAATAATAAAAATGCTGACTTATTTCAAAATTATTTTCAAAACATTGAATTAGAGAGCCTGAAATTGGAATAAAAATATTTTTCTAATGTACATTTAAATAATTAAATAATATTAATTGTTATTGTATATTGTTTATTCTGTGATAATATAAATGTAAATGCAAAACGAAAAATAAAGAGATTAACTAACAAGATGTGGTAGTATACTTTACAAAATTATCTCTGAAATGAGATTCATGAAAACTATCTCATGGTATTAATTACAACAATTATCTTTGAAAGCTATTCATGGTCCTTCTATTTCGTTTTAAAGCGGTTGTTTCTTGGATTTGTAGAACTTCAATCGAACGGAAGTCCTTTGCTTCTTGGGTGTGTAGAACTTCAATCGAACGGAAGTCCCTTGGTCGTATAGTTGTCGAATTCGCTTGATACGGCTTCGATTTGTTTTTAAAGCGGTTGCTTCTTGGGTGTGTAGAACTTCAATCAAACGGAAGTCCCTTGGTTGTATAGTTGTCGAATTCGCTTGATACGAGCTTCGAGTTGTTTTTAAAGCATTGGTGCTTCTTGGGTTTGAGTATGTAGAACTTCAAGCGGGCGGAAGTCCCTTGGTTGTATAGTTGTCGAATTCGCTTGATACGAGCTTCGAATTTGTTTTTAAAGCATTGGTGCTTCTTGGGTTTGAGTACGTAGAACTTCAAGCGGGCGGAAGTCCCTTGGTTGTATAGTTGTCGAATTCGCTTGATACGAGCTTCGATTTGTTTTTAAAGCATTGGTGCTTCTTGGATTTGAGTATGTAGAACTTCAAGCGGGCGGAAGTCCCTTGGTTGTATAGTTGTCGAATTCGCCTGATACGAGCTTCGAATTTGTTTTTAAAGCATTGGTGCTTCTTGGGTTTGAGTATGTAGAACTTCAAGCGGGCGGAAGTCCCTTGGTTGTATAGTTGTCGAATTCGCTTGATACGAGCTTCGAATTTGTTTTTAAAGCATTGGTGCTTCTTGGGTTTGAGTACGTAGAACTTCAAGCGGGCGGAAGTCCCTTGGTTGTATAGTTGTCGAATTCGCTTGATACGAGCTTCGATTTGTTTTTAAAGCATTGGTGCTTCTTGGATTTGAGTATGTAGAACTTCAAGCGGGCGGAAGTCCCTTGGTTGTATAGTTGTCGAATTCGCTTGATACGAGCTTCGATTTGTTTTTAAAGCATTGGTGCTTCTTGGGTTTGAGTATGTTGAACTTCAAGCGGGCGGAAGTCCCTTGGTTGTATATTTGTCGAATTCGCTTGATACGAGCTTCGATTTGTTTTTAAAGCATTGGTGCTTCTTGGGTTTGAGTATGTTGAACTTCAAGCGGGCGGAAGTCCCTTGGTTGTATAGTTGTCGAATTCGCTTGATACGAGCTTCGATTTGTTTTTAAAGCATTGGTGCTTCTTGGATTTGAGTATGTAGAACTTCAAGCGGGCGGAAGTCCCTTGGTTGTATAGTTGTCGAATTCGCTTGATACGAGCTTCGATTTGTTTTTAAAGCATTGGTGCTTCTTGGGTTTGAGTATGTTGAACTTCAAGCGGGCGGAAGTCCCTTGGTTGTATATTTGTCGAATTCGCTTGATACGAGCTTCGATTTGTTTTTAAAGCATTGGTGCTTCTTGGGTTTGAGTATGTTGAACTTCAAGCGGGCGGAAGTCCCTTGGTTGTATAGTTGTCGAATTCGCTTGATACGAGCTTCGATTTGTTTTTAAAGCATTGGTGCTTCTTGGGTTTGAGTATGTTGAACTTCAAGCGGGCGGAAGTCCCTTGGTTGTATATTTGTCGAATTCGCTTGATACGAGCTTCGATTTGTTTTTAAAGCATTGGTGCTTCTTGGGTTTGAGTATGTTGAACTTCAAGCGGGCGGAAGTCCCTTGGTTGTATATTTGTCGAATTCGCTTGATACGAGCTTCGATTTGTTTTTAAAGCATTGGTGCTTCTTGGGTTTGAGTACGTAGAACTTCAAGCGGGCGGAAGTCCCTTGGTTGTATAGTTGTCGAATTCGCTTGATACGAGCTTCGAATTTGTTTTTAAAGCATTGGTGCTTCTTGGGTTTGAGTATGTAGAACTTCAAGCGGGCGGAAGTCCCTTGGTTGTATAGTTGTCGAATTCGCTTGATACGAGCTTCGATTTGTTTTTAAAGCATTGGTGCTTCTTGGGTTTGAGTATGTTGAACTTCAAGCGGGCGGAAGTCCCTTGGTTGTATATTTGTCGAATTCGCTTGATACGAGCTTCGATTTGTTTTTAAAGCATTGGTGCTTCTTGGGTTTGAGTATGTGGAATTTCAATCGAACGGAAGTTCCTTGGTTGTATAGTTGTCGAATTCGCTTGATACGAGCTTCGAGTTGTTTTTAAAGCATTGGTGCTTCTTGGGTATGTAGAACTTCAAGCGGGTGGAAGAAAAATGTTCAAATCTGAAGATTCTACACAAAAATGGCTCATTTTAATGTATATTTAATCTCAATAACTAAAACATATACTGCAATTAGTTTGACAGAATTGTCACTTATTTAAAGTTTTAAAAATTATAGTAGTTGGGTGTCCAAAATATAAACTGTGATTGTTGGTTTTCATTTTTTTGCAGTGTTCTCACTACCTAGAATGGATATAAAATATACTCGTTCAGTTGAACGCAATAGCATACTTTTTCGTTTTTTAGTCTGTTCCTTGATGTGGATGTAAAAAAAATATTAAATCCACCTCTCACAGTTCATATTTTGGTCAGCCGCCTGCTATTATTTTTAAAATTTGAGATCATTGATAATTCTGTCAAACTAATTGTCAGTATAATTTTTGGCTATTGAGAATAAATATAACTACATTAAAATGAGTTATTATTGCGTAGAATCCATAAATACTAGCATTTCTATTTTTTTTTTCGTCTATAATTATAATTAATTTGTTAATTTAAATAAAACTATATGAAGTTAGTTTAATTACGAGTATTAAAGCAAAAATGTTAACCACATGGATGGTGTTGAGGTCAGCGCACTTGCCTTTCATGCGGAACGCCAGAGTTCAAATCTCGGATGGGGAAAAATTAAATTAATTTTTTTTCATTTATTTTCTCACTACCTCTATGTAGGCGTAGAAAAAAATATAATTGACCCATCATAACAAAGATATTTTATTTGTTTATGAAAAATTCAAATTCAACTTCTACTGTTACTAGCCTCGTGTTGTGTATGTTTTGTTACTGTTTCCCGGTGACACTTTAGGAACAGCACTGTTAATTAGAACCCAACAGTGAATGGTTGAGTGGGGAATCCTACCTACGAATTAGAATTAATATTTAATTCAATAAATTAAATATCCTTCAATTCAGGAATATTAATTAATTCAGAATCTAGCTATACTTGTAACAAAGTGAGTAAAATCAAATATGTAGTCTTTCTACCACACATATGATTTAACACACGTCTTTGACACAAAGATATATCTACTTTTTACTGAGATTCATGTTTAGGAGGCGTTAGAGTGATTGACAATGATTTTGATGGATTATTCTGTTTTCTGCAAGTAATCCGATACTTTTCTCGCCGGACCGTAGTCGAGACCATTTAATAAAGTATTTCCTGTAACATCGAACCTTGATAAGATATCTATCAAACCCAACTCCGTAGGTTAACTTTAATTCTCTTTATTGATTTTTATCCCGAGAACTTGAAAGGTACATTACCCGTGCCCTGAATTCTTGAGAGTCTCGCTATATTAGTTGTTTGTTTTTTTGTATCTTCAAAGTATGAAAAAAATATATAACTAAATGAATTGTTGTTTGTTAAACTATATGATTCGTTTTTTTTTATTTATGGCACTTAATACCATCTCTGTTTAAAAATCGCGTTTTTTGCTTGATGTAACGTCATGTCGCTGCATATTATTTGTTTTGCATATTTTGTGCAATAAATACTATACGCAATACAGAAATACAAGTATGTTGTTTTTTTAATAAAATGATATAAAAAAAATTACCTAAGGCTTTTTTTTAATGACATTTGTGACAAAATTTAGCGTAGCACCCAAAATCTGCGGTAAGTACTCCTTTTAACGGGGCCTGTCAGGATGTTAGTATGGGGGCTGTATGTGTTGTGCACGACCCTGGTTTTAACTATTCAAGTCGGACAAAAATCAGTTGGTATGCAATTTAGTTTTCTGGGTAAAAATAGTTATATATTTACTAAGGCTGCGAGGTGGATTGTATTGGTCATAAAAACGTCAAAATAGCGTCTTTTCGAGCAATATTTAAAATTGTATATAGGTACAAGTATACAAGTATCTAGATATTTTAATAAAAAGCATGTATTTGATATTGACACAAACATTGTTTTACAATAAAAAATATTTGCATAAAAATATAACCTATTAAGAGAAGCAAATGAAACAAGTTTTTATTTTAAATAAAACTAATACAAACTTATTACAGTTTTAAATATTAAAAAGAACATATTAAATTTTGTTAAGCAATATAAACGAGAGCAAAATAATAATATTTAAAAAAAATGTTGGGAAACAAAAAATATTAAAATACCTTTATCATAATGTAATATAAAAGACGGTAAAAGTTAGTCACAATGTAAAGACCACTTTTATTACATCGAGAATTTTTCTTTAAAACATTTGGCATCTATTTCTTTTGCATTGCACTTTTGAAGATAGGCACAAAAATTGTATATAACCTGGACCTTTAAATAATCATTTTAAGGAAACTGCCTCTCTCAATGATATAAACTTTTTAGTATTTACCTGATTCACAGTATTAAAATTAGATGTTGACTTTTCTATGTCTGGTCTATTAAACCAAGATTTAATAATACCGCCAGCAGTGCCAACCTGATATGCACCATTTTTAATATCGGTAACAACAGCGATGAGGTTTGGAGGATCACCCAGGCTACGATCCACTTCGTCAATATTATTAAGAACACCAATATCAATATTTTGGCAATTTTTTTTAGTAGCAGACATCATTTGACGTTTTTAACCGTCAAATCATTCTCTCTATTGTATTTCTATTAGTTCTTTTGTAATACAAATGGTACATATTTTTCTATTATCCGTGCATGAAAAATGTAAACTTAGTTTACTAATTTTGCATTCAATTATTTCTGTTATGTTAAAAATCACTTCTTGGCACTGTACCTACACCTATATTATTGATGTTTGACTCATAGCTTTCAGTTTCCATTTTAATTTGTATATCATTTATAATTAAGTTGTTAACTGTTATTTCTTCTTCAAGTTTTTTCCATTTAGCGTTTCACTTAAAATTTCAGTATTTTCAATTTTTTCAATGTTGTCCTGATTGCTCGATTTTTAAACTGACCTGTTCATTTCTTTCTTGCTTTTGACATACTTGATTAGTAAGTTCGTTATTATATTGTTGTAGCTCTTCTTCTGTTGTTATGTTCGGAACAAAGTAGTGTGAATGTTTAAAGGTTAAACACCTAATTTGGGGTCACTTCCAAATACTTTTTTAAATGGACTCCTACCTATGACCCTATGTAATGAGTTATTTGTTTGCTATTGAACAAAATAACAATGTATTGACCAAGCTTCACTTTGGTTTTCTCGCATCCAAGCTCTAAGAATGTTTTCGACGTCTTGATTGGTTCTCTCAACACTCACTTGACTTTGAGAATGTCTAGGCCTACCATGTACTATGTGTAATTGCAAACATAAAAGTTTCAATTCTTCTAAAATTTAAAAAAAAAAATTATCAAACATTGTCCCTTTGTAAAACTGAAGGAGCCCCAAATTAAAAAAATATTTTAATTAGTTCTTGAGTAACCTCATCTGCTTGCTTTAATCGTAAATCTCAGACAAAAGATTGTTGAAAACACTAAAAAAATCGCCAGAAGAAAATACTGCAACTTGAACCACTTTAAAGTTTTATCGTATACAACTTGTGTACAATTTGGGTACAATTTGGGTAAAATTTGTGTACAATTTGTGTACAATTTGTGTACAATTTGTGTACAATTTGTGTACAATTTGTGTACAATTTGTGTACAATTTGTGTACAATTTGTGTACAATTTGTGTACAATTTGTGTACAATTTGTGTACAATTTGTGTACAATTTGTGTACAATTTGTGTACAATTTGTGTACAATTTGTGTACAATTTGTGTACAATTTGTGTACAATTTGTGTACAATTTGTGTACAATTTGTGTACAATTTGTGTACAATTTGTGTACAATTTGTGTACAATTTGTGTACAATTTGTGTACAATTTGTGTACAATTTGTGTACAATTTGTGTACAATTTGTGTACAATTTGTGTACAATTTGTGTACAATTTGTGTACAATTTGTGTACAATTTGTGTACAATTTGTGTACAATTTGTGTACAATTTGTGTACAATTTGTGTACAATTTGTGTACAATTTGTATACAATTTGTGTATAATGTGTGTACAATTTGTGTACAATTTGTGTACAATTTGTGTACAATTTGTTTACAAAAGGATGTGGTCTCTTCACGCAAAGCCCCAGCAGATTGTGTAGCTTTATGATTTTACACAATATACCGAAGTTTCATGAAACGACTAGGATCTTCATGAATAGACGGATTTCACTATGGGCCGACGACACATACACAATTTAAAAATTTGGCAAATATCAAATAAACTCTGCCGTTTTCCACTGTTCTGCACACGCACTTACAACTGTTTTTTTATTGAAATTTTTATTACTATTCGCGATTCAAATTAATTTTCGCGCACCTCCCATTTGTCACTTATAAGTAGGATGTTTGTTTATTTACATGTGTTTGTTTTGGGCGGGTTTAGGACATTTGGACGTGGTCGTTTCGGCGTGGCCATTTCGACGTGACCATTTTGACGTCAGGCCATTTCACCGTTGGCCGTTTCGGCGTCGGCCGTTTCGGCGTCGGCCGTTTCGGCGTCAGCCGTTTCGGCGTCGGGAATACTATTTTTAAGTATGTATGTTAAAGCCGCTGTAATTTTTATTATGAAATAAGTAAAGTATTGAAATAAGTGAGGTATTGCATAGGAATGGGATAAATGTTTTAATCTGTTTTTCAAGTACCTATCAGAATTATAATAGTAGTGTAAATAATATTAGTGTAATTAATATTTTATATGAACATTAGTATAATAATAGTGAAGTAAAGAAATTGTTCGAAATGTGCAACCCAGAGTAATATATATTGCGATTTTGAACAGGCGTTACTATAAATGGTTGTTTTTTCACTTGGCCCAAAATATGTGGAAACAAGTGGCTTCTATTGGACATACGAGAGAGTACAATGTTGATCTACAATTCTCTCTAAATGGCAGAACGGTGATATCTTTGGCATTTGTTCCTAAGATCATTTAGATTATGCCTTTGATGTTCTAGCGGAAGACCTACCTGCCGAACAGCAATAATATAGACATTATATTTTAGTCTTCCTTTCGACACGAAAACAGTTTTATTATTTAATTATAATAAACCTAATTATAATAAATATAACAATTATTTAAAATTTATAAAAATTATATTGTTAAGTTTGCCAAAACTTCCAACGCCGAAATGGCCAACGTCGAAATGGCCGGCGTCGAAATGGCTTATGTCCAAACGGCCACGCCAAAATGGCCACGCCGAACATCTGGGGGTACTTTATAGGGGGTCATTTTTATAGAATATATCTGTTATTTACGTTTGGAGAAGAAAATTCTTTAAAAAAAATTTACTTATAATATTATTATCTATAATTTTTGTTTTATACAAAATTTTTCTAAAATGATTCGTATTCGAGAAATTTGACAAAATGTAACAAAAATAATTTTTTATAAAAATTGTTTAAATAAAAGTTCTTTGTAATATAATTTTCTATAATTTTTATGTTATACTTAATTTCTCTAAAATGGGCCGTATTCGAGATATTTAAGAAAATGTGTAAATTTAGAATTTTGAAAAAAGCTCAAAAACTGATAAATAATAGAAAAACACCAAATTTTAAACTTATTTTTTATTCTGGCCCGCCGTAAACTGAATAGCTTTTTTCCGTTGGAACATCTGGGAGGGACTTTATAGAGGACGTTTTTATAATTTATGGAATATATCTGTTAAGTACGTTAGGAAAAGAAAATTCTTCAAATAAAAGTTACTTGTAATATTATTCTCTATAAGTTTTGATTGATACAAAATTTTCCTAAAATGAATCCTGAAATTTGGCAAAATGTGCAAAGTTCTGATTTTTAAGAAAATTGTTTAACTAAAGAATTGTTTATCTTCTAAATATTTACAGAGGTGTTACAATAGGTTGTACAAAATAAACGGAAGAAGCCTGTAATAACTAGATAGAAAAGTCATGTGTTGGACACATAAAATTTTTTTAACTGTTTTTAGATAATATTCTCATTGTAATAGTGTTTTTGAGTTTCATTCAGTGTTAATTTAAGTTTATTTCTTGTGCTCTCGTCATAAATATAATATTTATTATGTGAATTACTTAATTTGTTGGAAATATTCACCTATTGGTTGCTACAAGAACATCTAGAAATATGTATTTACTAAACCCAGGACATGTTTTATTATGTGGTTTAAAGGACATTCCAGGTACCAAACGTTTATTATTGATGAACATATTTAAAAATCTTACTATCCTTATTCTTATATTAAGAAGTGAATTGTGTAGTACTTTGTATACCATGTAAATGGTAATAAAACCGTCATAAATCAGATTAGTTTGATTCTAAACAAAGTTTTGCAAAATTTCAATATTGTGAATTTGTAGATATCCAGTTATCATAAGAAACAAAATTTTACGACTTGCACTTAGAAAATAATAAATACTTCAGTTTTGATTTTGATATTAACACCATATAGATTGCAATTTGCTGGGGACTTTTTCGCAGATTTCATTTTTAATATAAACACTATCACATACTATAAGTAATAAACAAATTTAAGGCTAAAAAGTAAGAAAAAACTCGAAATGTAATTGATACAAATTAAAATGTAAATATTGAACACGAACGCCAATGTTGCCAAATAAACTAAAATTAAAAAAAAATCAATATAATAAATCGGTTTAATAAAAAAAAATCCTTAAATAAATATAAAGTATGATTACATATTACTAGACACAAATTTTGATTCTTAAATAAAAGGTCTTATCCACTTCTTCAAGAGCTAAAATCCGACGACGTAGTGAAATTGTGCTACTTCTGGCAACACTGAACGATATCCTACTTATAGGGACCTTCTACAAATTTCCTCCAGATGGCGTTCACTTAGCTTGAATCGCGAATAAAATAAACCAATATTTATGGAAATTTAAAAAACTCTTTTAGATTATTACCCACTCCAAATATATTTATTGTATGTTTTTCATATAAAATAATCCAAAAAATAATCTTTTCAAATACCGCTCGTTCTTTTAAAATTTAATTATTAAATTTTGGGTGTCTATGCTAAATCGACTTTATTTCAGGCAAAACCACTCAAACAAACCTATTTAAGAAAAAGTCGGCTTGTTTTCGTGGTTTTTTGCAAATAAAGACGTATTCGTGGAAAATTAAAATTTTATCGATAACGTATGAAGGACTCGTCGTATTACCTTTGATAATATACTAAAATTATTTACCTGAAATATTATCAGCCTAGCAAGATTGTAAAATCACCTCATATATGGACGATGATACGACATAACTATCGTGTTATGTTATATTATGTTGGGTATGAGGTATTAATGCACTGCGACTTAAAAGATCTATTGTGCCCTCTTCTGTCGCCAATGCATGGAAATAGTCTCGATCTTTTCAAGGAATTGCAGGATTTGAAGTAGCTTCAAATTAGGTATGCTCCTAAGTAGAGTAGTGCCCTTTCAGCCTTCTCCTTAACAGAATCTACTACTCTCAGTTAACAAAGATGTCCTTTGAGTCAGCAATGCCCAGTAAGGATCCTTGTTATACTGGTTTTATTCACTCAGAAGTTTCTTAACCTGTATTAACCCCAAGA